ATAATGACTGTCACGCTTCATACTGCAGAGGTAAAAAAGAACATAGCAAAAATACAATATTTATTTTTATTATATCGATTACACAGGAGGTCGAGTCGTTTTTCTAATAATTTTATCATCAAACAAACAAGTATTTTTCGTCATTGTGCTTATTCATTCTTGTTTTATCATTACATTTTAACGACGTTCTTTCTAAAGTATGTAAAGCTTTTCCTCCAGAACTTTTGTTTAAAGTAAGTTACAAAGAAGTATCGCTCATTCGAAGCTCGAGAAAATTTAAATAATCGTCGGATAGAATGTTCTTGTGATTAAAAATAATAAAAAAATTATGCATGTTGTATGCAAAATCGTATTACGTGATTATAGAATAATAAATAGAAAATTATGAAAGTTACATTATTCTTGCAAGGTTTTACTCATATAAAAGATTGAGGAAATCTATTTGTATTTGTATTCTTAAAATATGTATTTTATTGATCATAATTGAGATAAATTTGTTGAAGATGGAGGAAAATATAACATCAAAGGTTGAAGATCTGGTAGATGATTCTAATGATAAAACATCAAAAGAAATAGATCCATATGTGGATGTACTTGGCAATGGTCAGATAAAGAAAAAAGTTCTAAAAAAGGGCAAAGATGATACACGGCCGAATAGAGGTGATATATGTACAATAAATATTGTTGGTACACTGGATGATGGTACAGTAGCAGAAAGATATAATGATTTGACGATACAGATAGGTGACATGGAAGTAGTACAGGTATTAATGATCATTATTATTATAACTTTGTCATTATTGCGTTATGGCTATTTATTTGAATCATAAAATATCATTATTCAAATTGCAGGGATTAGATTTAACAATTGTATTGATGGACTTGGGTGAAATTGCTGAAATTATAATTCATCCTAGATTTGCTTATGGCGCATGTGGAAATGACCCTATACCACCTAATGCCACTATTACTTATACAGTTGAATTAAAAGCAATAGAACCTCAGCCTGAGATAGAAAATATGAGTATCAATCAAAGGAGGGAAATAAGGTAATATAATTAAAAGTTATTTATTTTACATCCTCACCTTTTTATATAATATTGGAATTTATTTTTTTAAAGCAATAAGAAACGTGAACGTGGAAACTGGTGGTTTATTCGCAAGGATGCTATTTGTGCAGTGCAATGTTATCGGAGGGCATTAGAATATTTAACACCAAATACTGCTACAAGTTGGAATGAAAAAGTAGAAGTAGAAACTACAGATGCTGAATTGCAAGCTCTATTGGATGATCGTATAAAAGTATATAACAATTTGGCAGCTGCATTAATGGAAAAAGGATCTTTCTATGAAGCTTTAGATCATTTAGAACAAGTTTTAAAATATCAACCAACAAATGTAAAAGCTTTATATAGAAAAGGTAGTAAAAATCCAACTCTAAAAGTTCTTTGCTTTTTAGATAAACCAATTTTATATTTTTTATTCATATAATATAGTGTGTGTGTGTGTGTGTGTGTGTGTGTGTGTGTGTGTGTGTGTGTGTGTGTGTGTGTGTGTGT